TCTTGTTGATCGCATTGCAAATTGTGCTTTTGGTCCACGGTTCATTGGAGGTGATTTCAACCAATTCTTGGATGAGTTGCCTGCGGTGCAAACCTTGTTGCAACAGGGTTGGGAAGAGGCACAATGCCTTGCTAAGCGCAAGTTCCGACAAGAGATCCAACCCACGATCCAACAGAAACACACCAAGGACTTACTTCTTCTCAGCCCTGAATTGGTCCCCTTGGTCACTGAGGTCCACGTGGAACCAGATTGGGTTGCAAATCACTCAATTGTTTATGTTGTTTTGCGCCCCGATGTTCAGTCCATTCGGGCCCCGATTTGGAAGGAGCCACGGAAGGTTGACTGGCAGGCATGCTGCCCACATCCCATTGAGGAGCAGCACCTCTTGGACCCTCCCCCAATTGCCGCTTGTAAGACTGACGCGGGCACTGTAGAAGATAGGTACCAAGCAATTTGGCATTCCTTTGAGTTCCAACAGGTCGCAGGTGCTCGACAGCAAGGCTTCAATATCCATGGTTCTCAAACGGGTCGAGGGGCGACTCGTGAACGGTCATGATCACCGAAAATTATGCGCCGCTCCGACCGTCTCGACCAGGAAGTTTCACCCCAACATTTCATGGTCAGAGCGCATTGCACACGTATTGGATTGGACAGTTCAGACGTCTCCAAACTCTGGCTCAGATGCGTCATCCACAGCATGTTCCCAATGCACAATGGCTTGAACGCAAGTTAGGTCAATGGAGAGCCATCAAGAAGGCCGCGCCGTCCTTTGAGCAATGGTGGGCCAACAAGGCCAAACATGTCCTTGGTCTGCCGCAGTGCTTGCCGACTCAGCCGCCCGATGGCGAGCTTGCTCGGCTGTTAACAACAGACTTCCAAAAGGATGTTCGAGAGCTTGAGAAAATGCTTTCATCAGCCCGTATCAACACTGCCAAACAAAGTCGACTTGATGAGAACCTGTACAGATGCTCCTTGCGCATACGGTAGCCACCATTGAAGCAGTAGACCATGAGGAGTGCGCGCTTGTGCTTGATTCAGCTAACGCTTTTCAACCCGAGCAGTCCATTGAATATAAAGGTAAACCACTCCCCATTCTTCATAATGACACCGATAAGCTATGGCTGGAGCACATGCCTCCGGTGCATGAAGGAGACACCCTGACCCAAACACACCCGCTGACCGATCTTGACCAAATTTATGAAGCTTTCCAAACCGAATGGATGGCGCGGTGGGATCGCCACGCCAATGCCGTTGACAGCCGGTGGGAGCCAATCATAGACTTTGTTAGGATTGCCATCCCTAATCCACCACGAACGCAATACAATTCGATCTCGTATGCCACATGGCAAAATGCTGTAGGCAGGAAAACGGACGGAGTATCTGAGGACGACCTTCTGGCACTTCCTTGGAATCATGTTGAGCCAGTTTTGCGCCTTCTGGATGACATTGAGCAGGGCCGTACACTGGCCACAACAGGTTGTCACTGGACATATCCATGCCCTCGAGAAGCTCCCAGAAGCTTGGAAGGCCAGCCAGCGCCGACCGTTGACGGTTTTCTCGATTGTATACCGAACCTGGTCTTCAATCAGGGCCCGTGAAACTCTTGCCTACTTAGGCCAATTCGTCCCTGAGCAAGTGACGGGAAACATCCCAGACAAGTCGCGCACCGACCTTTGGCTTAACATCCAGTTGCTCCTTGAAGAGGCTGCCGCTGAACAGGTACCAGTCACAGGAGTCGCTGCCGATCTTGTTAAAGCATATAACCTCCTCCTAGACTGCCATTATTAGCCATAGGTGTACATCTTGGTCTGCCTAAGCCAATCGTTCGCGCCTGGGCCAACGCCCTCAAGCAGATGGTCCGCGCATTCAGCATTTGAGGTACCATAGGCCCCCCCTTAAAGTCCTCTACTGGTTTTGCGGAGGGATGTGGACTCAGCTGCAGCGCCATGCTTTTGCGCAACATCGCTCTTTCGCGATGGATCCGAATCAGGTACCCACATGTCCGCTCACTGCTGCTTCCGCTGAGGACACACGCGAATGGGCCTGGGTTATATGACACAATTTTGCGAATTGTTGAATTTACAACTCGACCAAGTCAAGACCTATTTTTGGTCTAATGATGCAGGAGAACGTAAGTGTGCTAGGCTTCAAGATCAGCCGCTCCAACCATCAGCTCGTGACCTTGGAGCACACATGGAATATGGGCGCCGCAACACCAACCATGTGTTGCGAGGACGCCTGCAGGCGATGCCGAGAGTTTGGGACGCACTTGCCAGATCTCTGGCACCGTACTGCCAGAAAGTCCATGCGCTGCGTGTCAAGGGTTGGCCACAAGCTTTGACAATGGGCACCTCCGCCAGTCTGGGGGACACCCACATTCGTTGCTTGCGCACTGGAGCATGCCGAGGGCATGCACCAGGCGTCAGCCCCATGATCCACCTTTCCCTGGGAACATCCTTTGACCGATCCAGGTTGTTACCTTTTGGTGCAAACAGTGCAGGTTTTTCGCCGTCGCGCAAACTCTGACCAAGTAAGCAGCTTGATTGAGCAGCTGCTATGTGATTGGAATGAGCTCCCGGCCAGACCTGGCCCAAGCCATGTCCTTCTAGAAAGGCTGCATGCCATAGGATGGAGTTGGCTGCGCAATGGCTGGGTTCTTGACCATGAAGCTCAACCCCTTGACCTCATCCATGGCAGCCACACTGAGGTCCATCAACGACTTCTCCAAGGGTGGCAAAGCTTTGTCCAAGGCTGTGTAAAAGGCTGTGTAAGTAAACGCAAAACATTCCAGGGCATGGAATGGATCCTCATTTACCTTGGAAAAAACATCCAATATGGCACCAAGCAAATTGGGCCTCCTTCGTAAGGTACTCAATGGCACATTCTTCACAGCCGACGCACAAACGCGTAATAAGAAGGCCCACACTATCAACTGCAAGTACTGCGGGCATCCGGACTCCCAGTTCCACTGATTTTGGGAATGCTGCCATTTCGATAGATCTCGACCGTATCCATGGCTCACCGCCAAGATTCTTGAGGGGGACTCCCCAAATGCCTCACTTATCATGGGTGGATGGGCTTGCCACAATCCGTTCGAGAACTTCAACGACTGCTACTCCAGCAGCCGGCACTCACTAGCTGGTTTGATTCGGTCCCTTTTCGCGCCGTCGATCTTTTCATAGATGGTTCCTGTGTTATCCCCACGCGCAAATTTACCAGAGTTGCAGGTTGGAGTCTCATTGCAGCCGACCCGTCTGACGTAGACCAGTGGTGGCCAGTTGCACAGGGCCTTGTTCCAGGCCGACGGCAGACCAGTGGGCGGTCCAAAATTCTTGCGGCTATCAGTGCAGTGCGCTACACGATCACCCAAGATCGGCCCATGCGAGTTTGGTGCGATAATGCTCAGGTAGTAGCCACACTAACAGCAGCCCTCCAAGATCCCGCAACTTGCCGAGTCCACCGCAAGGACCAGGATTTGTGGCGTGAACTGATAGCTGTAGCTAGGGCCGTACCTTCCTCGTTAGTCCAAGTCATTAAGATAGCCAGTCACCAAAACAGAGCTAATGTCCACTGGGTCGATCTTTGGGCGTTCACCAGGAACGACTGCGCCGACCATGGCGCCCAGTGGAGCACAATTTACCTCAGCGAGGTGCATCGAGCTTGGACGAAAGCGGTAACAGATCTCGAGGCCGCCCGTGCCCTAAGAGATCAAATCCATGCCACAATGCTCAAGGTTAGCGAGGACGCTGTCACCAAGGACGTCCCGGCTGTTGCTGCCAATGATCCTCCCCAGACAGCTTTCCCGCTACCCTTGCTCGAGCCGACCATCACCATGCTCCCGCAGAGACCACACACGACAACGCGCAAACTTGTCGGCCAAGGGTGGGATACCATATCCGCATGGTCCCGAAGCTTGCAGTCCCACACAGCCCCGCTTGTTCATATTCCTTGGCTTTACATGTTGATTGATGTTGTTTTGTGTTCAGGGAGCGGCGGGATCCGACCTAGTCGCAACTTTTGCTCGTGGCAATGGCTCTTACGGGAAGAGGCCACTGCGTTTGAGTTGCAAGATCGGATCAAGTGGTTCAGGCTTTTCCTCATCAGGATTCACAAACTCGAAGGACAACCTTTGTCCACGCATCACGTTCGTCCAACTTCACGGACCACTGTGTTTTGGGCGCATTGCCTGACGTGCGGAATGGATGACGAGAGATTTCGGAAAGAAGAGGACTACATCAACAAGTTCAAGGCGACACTCACTTGTGGAGCTGACCTTTGTGACATCACTCTGTAGTGATTTTCCTGGGACATGGCGTCCCCCGCGAAAGCTGCGGCGCCGGAGTCTTTCGGAAAAGCGGAAAAGTGGAGGCCATCGCTATTAGGACCGGGGCCATCGATAAGCTTGAGGCCATCGCTATTAGGTTGGAGGCCGTTGCTATTAGGTTGAAGGCCATTGCTCTTAGGTTGGAGG